AATGTTTAACACGTGTTTATTGAGACTGCACAAAGGGCAAAACACTTACTTAACAACAGTAAAAAATGTGTATTGAAATAAAACGGTGATTTTTTTTATACGAGAAATTGTTGTCCATGGTGGTAATGAAGTGTGTATGCGAACAGATTGCAAAAAATGTGAAAACTATGGTCGATACAGTCTGTTAACTATGGCCTATTTTTGCAAAAATGTCTGGCAGGATAGAATGCACAGATGCTGGCTACTAGAGTGCATTGAATCATGACCGTTTTTCACCGACTTAACCTGATAGCGTGTTGTAGCCACGCCCACCTATCCTGAAACGGTCGACTGTTTCCGGATTTCCGACTCTCGCCGAAAGTGCGCCACCAAATGACAAAAATGTGAGAGGAAGTCATACCCTCGAGCCATAATAACACTGGTCATTCAGTATAGTTTTAAACGATATACATTTTTCGGTCGGCGTTTTTTCTTTTATTTTTTTTGTCTATTTTTTCTTTTTTGAGAGAGAGCTTTTAGTTGTTGTGTTGTGTTGTGGGCAGTTGCAGTGAAACGTATAGTCATAGTGTATGTATTCACAACGTTTCTAATCGATCCGAAGGTGCGACATCAGTGGACGAAAGCCACTTAACGTAAACCTGGCGCAACACTTTTGAAAGAAGTAGATTCCGGACCAGCCCATGATCACCGAGGCGGATTTTAGAATAGAGACCCGACGCGTTCACCTATTTCAATAAAAAGTCAATTTATTTCCACGCGGCTGTCATTTATTTAGTAACTGTGATTTGTCGTTTTTTTAATTATTTTATAGTGATCACTATAGTCTAATGTTTAGAATGTCAGAATATGTTCTCTTTTATTTTAATTTTGAAAGTTTTACTCAGACGATCGATGAAATAAAACAGTGTAGTGACGTGCCTAGTAACATGCTAAATAACGAGATAATTCCGACGTCAAATTCTATTTTGTTCAGCGACAGTATACAAACGTGCGCCGGTGTCGGTGACGATCACGGTGACCAGCTACACCAGAACGGACATATTTCGCATCTAACTCAACCCCATGCAACAAAAATTGATACTATGTGTTCATTATGGTCCATTCTTCCTCGACGAACAAGTACATAAGTGACAATTTAGTCAAAGACGAGAAAACTGCAGAATTTGCCTTATTTACACGTATCGGCAATGCAAGCTGCCATGCGACTTCCCCTTCCGACGTCACAAGGGGAATTTATGTATGCAAATGAGAAGCTAATGAGGAGCCTCGTTTTAAAATACACAAAAATAAAGTTGCCGTAGACTGAGTTTAAAACACATTTTTTCACTTAAAAAAAAATAATTCATGCTTAGAAACATAAAAATTAATAATATTTATGTATCAAATGATAATTTTAGGCTTGAAAATAGCAGCCATTTCACAGACACTTTAACATTAAAATGATTGACATTTGTATCTGATCGTCAAACAAGTAGTTGTCCATAATGGGAGATATTGTTTTGGAACAGCATTAATTAAAACAAAATAAGCCATTTTGAATAATGTATATATCTATAATGTGATGTATAACGAATATATAAAATTATTTGCATCAAGGTCCCATAATGTCTAATGTATATACCAAGTTTGAACAAAATCCATCTGTAAATAGCCGAGAAATGGTTGATTTTTAGGATTTTTTAGCACAAAAATGGCCACCATTTGGCCATCTTGAATCAGATCGTAAAACAAAATGATGTTCCTCAAGGACCTATAATGTCTAACATATATACCAATTTTGAACAAAATCCATCTGTAAATAGCCGAGAAATGCTTGATTCTGATGATTTTTAGCACAAAAATGGCCGCCATTCGGCCATCTTGAATCAGATCGTGAAACAAATTGACGTGCATATGTATAATATCATGTATGATGTATGTGTGAAGTTTGATTGTGATTGGTCCAGGCATTTCCAAGATACATGTCCGGACGCACGCACACACAGAGGTCAAAACATAAGTCCCCGTTTTCGGTCTGCGTCTGAACGGGGACTAAATATGACGTGCATCAGCAACCCGTTATGTCTAATGTATTTACCAAGTTTGAACGAAATCCATCCATAAATGCCAGAAATGCTTGATATTTGATGATTTTTTAGAACTAAAATGACCACCATTCGGCCATTTTGAATAGGATCGTCAAACCAATATATCTATGACATGATGTATAATGAATATTTAAAATTTGAACATAATCAGTGAAAGCAAGTCGGAGATATGGGTCTAGAAGCCCATTCTTTAAAACAAAACGGCCGCCAGACAGCCATTTTGAATCCGATATGAAAAATAAATGATGTGCATCAGGAACCTGTTGTGTCTAATATATGTACCAAGTTTGAACGAAATCCATCTATAAATGCCTGATATTTGATGATTTTTTAGCACAAAAATGGTCATTGTTTGGCCATTTTGAATAGGATCATCAAACCAATATATCTATGACATGATGTATAATGAATATTTAAAATTTGAACATAATCAGTGAAAGCAAGTCAGAGATATGGCACGAGAACCACATTCATTAAAACAAAATGGCCACCAATTGGCCATTTTGAATCTTATCTGACTTTTAATGCCAACCAGGAAAGAGAACTTTTTTTTTACCGATGTTGAATACATTTTGGAAGAATGCAAATACAACTGTTTATGTAATGGTAAATTTGTAGGCCAATTGTATATGTATAATAATGTCACATACCCTTTCCATAGCATTCATTCTTTCATCATCTATTTTAAGAGGTGCGTCATAGGCAAAGGTAGGATACTTCACCCAATTAGTTCGAGGCTTCTCCAGACGAGAGACTCCAAATTGTTTGAGCTGCAGAGTACCACTCAGTACCGAACCCCCGACGATCTCCATTAACTTTCCAGAAAATTCATTGTCCGCTCGCTTCAAGTTGTTAACTCTGATATACTCATCTTTCTGCTGAAGCTGAAGAGAAAATAACAGAAAGTGTGTATCATTCCCCTTGGTGCATTAGTCTGCGTACTGAACCTTTACACCCCCAGTTAGTGCATTCATTGGTTATACCCTCTTAGTGAGTGCATTGGTTATACTCTCTCAGTGAGTGCATTGGTTATACCTTCTTAGTGAATACATGTCAAAGACAATTCTCTAAAAACTCACCTGTAGCGAAAGCCATGAGACATGTTTCTCTGCAGCTGTGAGGGTCTGGGAAACCATTTTCTCATAGCCTTCATTAATATTGATAGCCTTGTCTTTCTTTAAGAATTGTAACTTATCTAGATGTGCTCGCAGCGTATCACGGGCTCCTGCCGACAGGCGACATTTTTCTTTCATCTGTTGTTGCAACTCCTTCACTTGTTTGTACAGACTGGCAGCATGTCGGTTTTTTGTTTCCTCTAATGACGTTAGGGCTTCTTTCTTCTCCTTTTTGAAATCTCTAACTAAATCAGAATTTGTGACTTTCAATTCAGAGATTTCACACTGTAAATCTGTGATCTCTGCTCTCATCTCGCGCATCATTGCCTGTTGACTGCTAGATGCCTCAGTCATCTGCTCTATCTTCTGCTCCAATTTCCCCACATTTTGTTCAATTTTTTCAATCTCTGGAGAGATATTATTGTAAATTGCTGCTAACTCTTTGGAGTTGGTGTTGCTTCCTTTGATCTTCGAGATAGATGCACCCAACTCATCAAATTTCTTTTTCAATATTTCTAAATCGATTACCTCCACTATGTTCTCATCTTCCTCTCTGGCATCCACCGATGATCCATCATCGCTTTTTGTTTCATCTCTTGAAACTTTTGTATTTTTCTTCAAATCAACTAAACTAATTTCTCGTCTAAGTCGATCTGTTAACTGCTTCAGATTTGCATTCTCCTCTTCCAAGTCTTTTATTTTATCTTTGAATACATTGCACTCTTTGCAGACGACGATGGAGACATTCACCTTGTATGGCGGAGTATCTTGTACAACCACCACCTGAAATAGCAAAACGTCAATGATTTAATTTCAGAAAAAAAAGTTGTATTTTGATCAGAAAGAACCTTATTCAACAAGCCAAGCATGGCACAGTTTGGTATTACCACCAGTCCATCTTAATGTTCATTATAAGTCAAATACAGATATACATGTTTATGGGCTCCATGCATCCTGCCTGCCTGCCTGGAATCCAGCCATACAGGGTGCCGTTCCCAATGC